CCCCCCGGAGCCCTGCCTCATTCAGTGCACAGCCCCCACCCCCCGGAGCCCTGCCTCATTCAGTGCACAGGCCCCCCTCCCCCCAGAGCCCTGCCTCATTCAGTGCACAGCCCCCACCCCCCAGAGCCCTGCCTCATTCAGTGCACAGCCCCCACCCCCCGGAGCCCTGCCTCATTCAGTGCACAGCCCCCACCCCCCGGAGCCCTGCCTCATTCAGTGCACAGGCCCCCCTCCCCCCAGAGCCCTGCCTCATTCAGTGCACAGCCCCCACCCCCCGGAGCCCTGCCTCATTCAGTGCACAGCCCCCACCCCCCGGAGCCCTGCCTCATTCAGTGCACAGGCCCCCTCACCCCCTAGAGCCCTGCCTCATTCAGTGCACAGCCCTCCCCCCAGAGCCCTGCCTCATTCAGTGCACAGCCCCCCAACCTTCAGAGACCTGCCTCATTCAGTGCACAGGCCCCTTCTCCCCCCAGAGCCCTGCCTCATTCAGTGCTGGGGATCGCGGACACCCCAGCACTGCAGTGCCTGAAGGAAGCGCTGTGCATGCAGCCAGCATGGGGAGGGCTAACAGCATCGCTCTGGGTGCTCTCTGTGGCCAGCAGGCTCGAGAAGCACCTGTCCAGTCATTACGACCTAGCTTGGCTGTTTGCTGGCGCGAGGGGCCCCACGGGGACTAGCCCCATCCTCAGAGCTGGAGACAAGCCCTGGCGGGGCACTCACATGGCCAGTCAGCATTGCAGCAGGGCTGAGAAGCCGGAAGCCCCTGACCCCCCAGGCTGGACCCTGCTGCCGCCCCAGCCCATCGCACACTTGAGCCGGTGCCGGCAGCTGAGCCAGGACTGTTCCAGGGACAGGAGGTGGCTTTACTTGCTGGGATCCTGGGGGGCAAAGGTTCCTCTCCCGGGGGACACAGCTCGCTCATGCGTCAGCAGTGAGTCCCTGTGGCAGGGGCCGGTCGGTGCCCACAGCGGCTAAGGCAGGAAGAGGTGCCCAGCCTGGCGTTGCAGAGCGGCCATGGGGCGGGTGGTGCCGCGCTCTGCCCAGGTGCAGCAGCTGCTCACACAGACCAGGCTGGGCAGGATTTGGCGGATAATCGGTGTCCATTTCTGAGCATATTTGTATTGATTTGGATTTCACAGCTGCGGGATATTCCGGGGAGCGTCAGACGATGATGGAATGACGGGGCAGATGCAGAACGTTAAATCCAGACCACCTGTAACACACACAGCAGCACCATCACGTGTCAAATTCTCCCTCGGGCCCAGCCTCCAGCCACAGGATCCCACGTTCTCGAGCCGCGGCTGGACCGTGCCCGGATCACCCAGGGAAATACTCTTCCCTGGCTTCATGCCTGTGCAGCGTAATGGAAATTCACCGATAAAAACCGGAGCCTTCCCCGCCCGGGAGAGCAGGCGGCTGCAGCCCCCCCATGCCCCGTGGGTGCTGTGAGAGCCAGGCTGGCCCCGTGCCCAGGGAAGGCCCTGCAGGGAAACAGAAGCTCTCTCCCCCGCCTGGCACAGGTGGAAGCTGAGCTGGGATGAATCAGCAAAACAGCAGCTCAGCCCTGCACATCCTGCTGTGCCCTCCCAGCCCCACCCCGCACCCCCGCCAGGGCACCCTGAGTCCCTTTCACAGTCCACCCCCCTTGGCATTAACGCTTCCCAGGCGGGCACATGGGGGAGGGCAATACTGTTCTCCACTGAGTGCCCTCCTGCAGGGTGAGTGGGGGCATGGCCCAGCCTAGGGAGAGCTCCATGCAGAGGCCGGGAATAGACACCCCAGGCAACAGAAATGGCACAGCCCCAGGGCCCACGCAGCTCTGCCGAGATGCCTAGTTCTGTTTTCTTGGCCTTCACAACATCCCCCGGCAAGGAGTTCCACAGGTTGACTGGGCGTTGCATGAAGCAATACCTCCTTTGGTTTGTTTTAATCCTGCTGCCTGTTAATTTCTTTGGGTGACCCCTAGTTCTTGTTATCAGAAGGGGTAAATAACACTTCCTTATTCACTTTCTCCACAGCAGTTCTGATTTTATAGACCTCTGTCATATCCCCCCTTACTCGTCTCTTTTCCAAGCTGAACAGTCCCGGTCTTATTAATCTCTCCTCATCCGGCTGCCGTTCCAGACCCCTTGTCATTTTTGTTGCCCTTTTCCAGTTCTAACGTTGCTTTTTTGAGCTGGGGCGACCAGCCCTGCCTGCCGTATCCAAAGCCTGGGCACACCATGGCTTTGTATAGTGGCGTTATGGTAGGAGTGTCCAGGAGTGGCAGCCACAACCCTAGCCCCCAACCAGGGCAGGGGCAACCCAACCCTGGCATGGATGGGGCACACCTTGCATTCAAGAAGCTGAAGTTGCAGGACAGGAAAGCTTCACATTGGAGCTCCCTGCACGGAGCAGCATCCTCAGGCACCAGCCTGGCCACTCCTGAGGGCACGAGTTGTGGCCTTGACCACGCTCGCTGTGACACGAGCGTCCAGGTCTCAGAGGGTACCAGTACCATCAGTGACCGCTTCCATCGCCAGGGCTCCTGTCTTGCACCCCTGCAGTGGGTGAGAGGCGCTGCTTTCCCCAGACAGCCTGAGCACCTGGCTTGATTGCACAAGCCCAGCACCCTTGGGCTGGCGCTGCCTTGGCTGGGCCGGGAGGGCTGCTGGTGACTCAGGCTCTCCCCTCTGAGTCAGAGCAGAACCGACTGCACTGTGCCCACAGGCTGGGCCTGGAGCCTGCGAGCCGCTGTAATTCCCAGGGCCCGGAGCACCAGCCCCCTGCTGCCACAGCCAAATCCCAGCAGAGGGTTTTCTGTTTGGCTTATTTAACACCCCGTCGTTTCCAAGGATGTGGGGTTCTTCCTTGGGCCCTGTTCTACACCAGTGCTGTGCCCCTGCCATGCTCCACCCCAGAGCTGGCTGGGTGTCAGCCCTGGAGTCCATGTGGCTGGAAGGAGCTGATTCCTCTGCGTCTCCCTCCAGGCTGGAGGAGCCCACTGGCCCCGTCAGGCGTGTTCAGAAGTCGGGCCTGAGCACTGCCAGCTGCTGGGGGGAGCGGTGGAAGGATGGAGCCGGCCCAGGGGAAGTGAGCTGAGCTCTAGGCACGTGTCAATGCGCAGCAGTTATGAAATTGGCCCAACCCTGACCCCAGCTCCCACGGAGAGGGGCAGGGGTGGGAGTGTTACCTACGCACTAGGGCTCTCTCCAGGGCCCAGGCCAGCGGCACACCACTCACACCCAGGCAGGTGCTTCTCCAGGCCCAGCTCCAGGGCATCCGGATGCCACCAACTGATTTAAACTGCGCCCAGCTGAGAAGAAAAACAGGAGTGATCTGTCGGCTGGGGGTGAGAGAAGGGGTGGCTTTGAAGAGCCCACAGAGGAAGAGCCAAGGCCCAAAGCTAGACCCTGCCCGTGGCTCTGAGTGCAGCGAGGCTGCGGGATCTCTTCTCTCTTGTGGCAGTGAGTTCCCCAGGCCAGACCCAGCTGTGGGGAAACTTCCATCTCCCGCACACACCAGCCTGGGCCTCTGGGCTGGCAGGTTCACTGGCACAGTGGAATGCAGCCCTGCCGGGAAGCCATGGTCTCAGGTATCTCTCCAACCGGCCCCCGTTCAGCAGGGAACCAGAGTAGTGTGGGGCAGCAGGGGCCAGGGGAAACATTAACAAGGCAGCTCCCTCACCAGCTGGAATAAGCTGCAGGATCCAAGCCCAGCAGCCCCAGATGTGTGGGGCGCCCTGGCCAGCCCTGGGCCTGCAAGATGGGGCACAATCTTCTCCCCAGCCATGGAGGGGAGGAGCGGACAGATTCCCCCGCTGTTGGCCTCCGAGAACATGAAGGCTCCGGTAGTACCCAGAACCCTTGGCAAGGGACTTTGACCTCACACTCAAAGGGACTTTGGCCCCAGCCCTGCCCTACACTGTGCAGAGCACAGCACAGCCCCCAGGGCAGGCCTAGTCATGCGCCCCACTGCCTGAGCTGCCCAACAATCAGCCTTCCAGGCACCCTTCCCCATGCAGCAGGCAGGGACCAACGCGGAGCTGCCTCCTGCCTCCCCCCCACCCCACCCCACCCCTGGTCCTGCAGCCTCCCTCCCCTCTTGAGCCAGCCCAGCTCCCCACCTCAGGTCACCTTCCCCAGGAGCTCCCCTCTACGGCCATCGCATCGCGGCAATGCTCTCCAGGACACATCGCCCCCAAGGCTCTCAGGTCACGCAGCCCCCGTCACTTGTCCTCCTGGTGCCCCTGCTGCCTGGCTCCAGGCCCAGCACAGCCCCGTGCTTCACGTGCTCCCGAGATCACACCGGCTTGTGGAGAGCAGCTGCGGTTTGGCTAGAGGCTGTAGCAATCTGAAGGCCGTAGAGCATTCCAGGAGCCGGCCCCAGGCCCAAACGCCCTCGTGGTGCGGCACGGCTGCTGCCTGCAGCTCCCTCCATCGCACGGACAAAGGGCGCACTGTTCTGCATGGACAGCGCCTGACGCTCAGCAGCCAGACCCACCCGAGGCCCAGAGCCGGGCCACGGTGCTGCCCCGGGGCATCACTAACCGGGGAGTGCTCGCACCTGCGCGGGCCACACTGGGGGCCCTGGCACCAGAGCACACTGCACCCCCCTGGAGCCAGGCTTCCTTCCTGCATGGGGCCTACACACAACTGCTGTTCAGGCGGGCCTGGCCCTCCAGTGGGGAGCCACCTCCACGGGGGCTGGCGTGCCTGGGCAGGTTGGAGGAGCAGGACCCCCGTACGCCCCAGTAGCTGCATAAAAACAGCCAGACTGGGTCAGACCAAGGGTCCATCTAGCCCAGTGTCCTGTCTGCCGACAGTGGCCAATGCCAGGGGCCCCGGAGGGAGTGAACAGACCAGGGAATCATCAAGTGACCCATCCCGTCGCCCGCTCCCAGAATGGCGCCGTGACGAGCGATCCGTGCAGCTAGCTCAGTCCCCCCCAGGGGGACGCGTCAGCCCCAGGCCCCCCCCAGGCCAGGGCCCCTGCCCAGGGACACCAGTGCCAAGCCCCAGTGATTGTGATACGAAACTTTATTCCTGTTCCACCCCCCTGCTTGGCCCATGGGCCGGGGGGGGGGGGGGGTGGTCAGCATCTACACAAAATCACCATCTTTCTAACGCCACAGGGACAGATTGCTGCTTGCCCGCCTGCCCGCCCCAAGCAAAACCCCATGGAGCCCCTGCAGGAGCCAGTAAGACACAGTGGCATGAGCACACCGGGCAACATTCAACAGGGCACGTGGAGGTGACACGGCTAATAACCAGGCAGCGTGTGCCACCCTGCACAGGCAGGAAAGACGGGGCATGGCTTAGGAGACCCGCAAGGCTGTAGATTTCTGCATGGAGGTTCCCTGCTGGCTTTGGTCCCAGGCTGCTCAGGGAGCGGAGCGCCTCCCCCCGCCAAAGCAGTGGGGAACCCCCATCCCCCCCCACAATTTTGTGGGGCAGGAGCCATGCAGACCTGCAGAGGGTCAGGCAAAACAGTTTGCCCATTGTCCTGCCAAGATAAACTCCCTGGGCTGAGGCTGATCAGCTCCGTGCTGGAGAAGAGGCTGCTGGGAGCGAAGCATGGGGCTGGCTGGGCATCAGGGCACCCCCCACCCCCAGGAGGTGGCTGGGGAACATCCTCCTGAAGGCGGGACACAGACACCAGCTCTGGGGCAGACTGGAGGGAGCAGGCTGCACTGGCTGGGATCAGAGCCCAGCCCCTCCTTGGGCTCCCCACAATCCCACCACTCTTCAGTGAGCAGGGGTTAATTCCCCGGCCCGCAGGGGGCCGGATTCCGTGGGGCTAACACAGCACAGAGGGTATTGAACACAGGGCAGCCCCAGCCCCAGCGTTAACGTCCGCCAGAACCCCAGGCTCAGCCGAGGGCTCGGTCAGTGCCGAGGAGAGGCCCCAGGAATGCAGCGCTGGGGGCAGGGTGCGGGAAGGGATGCCCAGGGCGGGGGCAGCAGGGGCTGCGGGTGCTCAGGATTAACGTGTGTTGAGAGCACTGGGCGGGGGCTGGGATGGCTGGGGGAGGCTGCAGAGCAAGTGGAACGGTGCAGGAGAAGGGCGCCCAGCGGCTCCATCCAGTCAGCGGCCATTGCTGTGGGATCCCCTGCAGGGGGGAATGACACCCCGTGGAGCCTAGTCCTGCGCCACAGGGGCCCCCAGCTCTGACAGTGGGACATTGGCAGCAGCGTCAGCAAAGGGGGCCCCCCCCCCACCCCAAGCTCTGTGCGTCCTAACAATCAGCCAGAGAAGCAGCGAGTGCAGCAGCTGCCAGCCCCAGGGAACCAGGCCGCAAGGCAGGGCTGCTACCCCTCTCCCCAGGCAGCAGGGCTGGGCAGGCCTCCGAGCCCCTGGTCTGTAGGATAGCGTGACCGGCCCACAGCCCTCGGTGCTCCGAGCAGCAGGGGAGGAGCCAGCCTTCCCCTGGGAGGGCAGAGGTTCCCAGCTGGCCGGGGCACCAGGGGCTTTTCCTCTGAAGCATCAGCTACTGGCCAGGAGCCGCGGGACGAGATGGCCCAGTGCTCTGAACCTCTACAGCAATTCTTACGTCCCTAAGGCAGAGGCCAGCGGGTGCCAGCTCCATCCGGGCAGAGCCCCCCATGGGGCTGCCGTGTCCTGCCCCCAGCTCATGCCCCGCAGCTGTCGGTACAGTCCTGCCCGCTCTGGAAGAGGTGATAGATGCTGACAATGGGGAACATGGCCAGGGCCCCCACCAAGGAGCCCACCTGGATGACCGCTCCACACCACACCAGTGCCGCATGGCCGGCCTCGTGCAGCAGGCTGCCGATCACCACCTTGAGGTAGGAGAAGAGGCCCAGGAACAGGATCCAGGACAGCACCTGTCGGGGACAGACATGGCCTCAGCCAGTAACGGGGGCCGACCACAGCAACCCAAGGGAACCCACAGGTTGTGACAGACAGGACCAATGCAGCCATCCCCACCTCATGGGCCCGAGACGCTCTGGGAGCAAACAGGCCTGGGTGGCCGGGCTGAGAACCAGGGGTCACCCACCAGCGGTGGGCGCGGGGGGGAAAGCACTCACCAGCCCCTGGGGATCCCGGGCATTGCCTGGACTCTCAGACAGTTCTCCAGCCCTGTGAGCCTGGTATCAGACACCGGGAGACTGAACCCCGAGAAGCAAAACAGGGCAGGAGGGGCAGAACCGGGAGCCATGGGAGGAGACCGGAGGGACGTTTCCCAAGGGCAGAGAGACATTAGCCCTGGGAAGCCCCCTCATTTAGAGGCCAACTGGACGGTGCCCCAGAGTACAGTGCCTGGAGCGAAGCCTCAGCCCACCAGCAGGGGATGCTCTGATGGCTCCTTTTGCAGCCCGGGGCAGAGGCCTTCGGAGAGACCGGGGCCCGGACTCCACCGTACTCACCACCAGGGCGACTCCTGCGGCATTGCCCAGCAGGGGAGGGCAGGGGCTGAGCGCGGCCAGCGCCATCAGATAGGCCGCAAAGACGCCTCCCAGCACAGAGATGACGCCCAAGCCCACCGCTGACCTGGGGGGTAGAGAGAAGACAAACGAGGGTCAGTCGCGGGCTGCAGACGAGCTCGGTGCCGGACCTGCCAGTCTGAATATCGGCCTGGGGGCCAATGGGGCGAGTGGGGGCAGGGGACAGGAGCACTGCCCTGCTGTCTGAGCAGCACCGGGCACTGCCGAGGTCAGAGCAGCGCACCAGCTCCGTACGTGTTAGATCGGGCAGCACTTCCTGCGGGTGCTAAGCGCTCTGTGGGGTGCCGGGCAGAGCTCATGAGCAAGATTTGGGGTGATTTGAGAAAGGGGCTCCCACGATAACCCCTCCCCCAACCCCAGCATGTTACTAAATCAACAGGTACCTTAAGTTATTTTGTGCACACTTGGGGCTCAAAGCAGAGCTCTGTAGGGGAGGGATTGAGCTCAGTCCGTTCCCGTCTACACTGAAGCAGGGAAGCAGCACAACTGTGGCACTGTAGGTGTAGACATACCTGACCCGGGGGGGGGGGGGGGGGGGAAGGGGGACAGAGAAAGAACTTGCTCAGCTGGAGCAATTCACACCTCCCCAAGGTGATGGGTCAGCCTGTATCATCTCCATGGGACCTCCTCCTCCAGCTGAGAGCACCTCCTTGAGATGAATGGGCCACATCACACCTCTCTGAGCCTGCTCTGTGAAGAGCCTCTTCCCCATAGGCTAGGTGGGGCTCAGAGCAGTGGGGACGTGTGGGCAGATGGGGCTCGGAGCAGTGGGAACGTGTAGGTAGAGGGGGCTCAGAGCAGTGGGGGAAGGGGGGCTCAGAGCAGTGGGGACATGTGGGGTGGGGGGCAAAGAGCAGTGTGGAGATAGGGGGCTTGGAGCAGGGGTAGGGGAGTCTGTGCGGCGAGGGGGTGTTGGACCAATGTAGGCCAAAGTGGGGCTGAAAGGAAAGGGCCAAGCTGTGCAATGGGGGATGATGGGGGCTTCAGCCCCCCTAGAGCCAGTCAACAGATAGCAGTTATATGTCCCCACCCCTGTCATATCTGAGCACCTCAAACCTTCCCTGCGTTTATCCTCACAGCATCTGGGGGAGTTGTGAAGTGTGGAACGGAGACACAGAGATATTAAGGAACGTGCCCAAGGTCACCCATTGTGTCTGTTGCGGAGCAGGGAGCTGAACTCAGCTCTCCCAAGTCCCAGGGCCTAACCGCTGGGCAAGTCTTCCTCTCAGCCCCCCCCCTTCCATAAATATCCCCCGACTCCCACTGGCCCCTGCCCGATCAGTCTGAGCTTGCCCCCTCCCCACTGGCAACTGGACAATAGGGGGCACCTGGCAGGTTCGGAGTGGGAGGTGGGGATATGGTCTCGGTTTTACAAACATTTAACGTGCACAAGCCCCGGACCCCGCTTGGCTGCTCACTAGGGACATCATCAGGAACGACTCAGGCACGTGCTGGGCACCCAACTCCTAACACAGGGCCACCATCTTAAGAGTTGGGTGTGCAGCTCCCCTTGCTGGCCCAGTCCAGAGGCCCCCCACAGCTGCACCAACGCCCCTCAATCCTGCCCCGCAGCACGGCCCCTCTCAGGCGGGGGGGGGGGGCGGGGTCAGACGGTGCTGAAGCGCACTCTGGGATGAGGACCGACACCCAGGGCAAGGGTGAAGAGGGGTGTAAGGGAGGAGGCTGGTACACGTACCACCTACAGCACCCTGCCCTACCTGCACAGCACAAACATGGCGATGAAGCAGGCCACGGGGTTGGCGATGTTGCTGAGCACCACGGAGAGGTGGTAGGCCGTGCTCCCGTAGGGCAGGCAGGAGTAGCTCTGCACCGAGGGCAGCGCACCATTGGTCAGCGCGTTGGAGACGCCCAGCAGCACCAGCAGGCAGATGTTCCGGCCCGTCCAGAAGGAGGTGGCCTGGGCCGGGGGGCGGGCGTCCTTGGCGATCTCCGCGGCGCTGTCCGACGTGGGGGTGCCGTCCTGCAGTGGGAAGGACTCCTCCGTCTCCACGCTGCCCTTGGAAGAGCTCTCCTGGCCGGCGGTGGAGCTGCTGGTGCAGCTGCGCTGCAGGATCAGCCCCAGGAAGGAGAGCGCTGAGACAGCGAGCATGGCGGACATCAGCCAGAAGTAGGTGTCCGCCGGGAAGTTCTCCTCCAGGTAGTGGGGCTGGGAGCCGTTGCCGGAGGTGGCGTTGCGGCACTCCAGCTTGCCCACCCCTTGGGCCAGGGCCACCACGCAAGGGAAGAGAGCGCTCAGGCCCTGGCCGACGAAGAAGGTGCGGATGAACTGCTGGGGGAACTGGTACATGAAGGGCAGGAAGGTGACATTGGAGGTGCAGCAGACGAAGGCCAGGAGGAAGGCCAGGAGCAGGAAGGCCAGACTGTGGGGCTCCCCCGCCACCATCGCCGTCCGGTGCCAGAAGAGAGCCATGAAGAGGGCTGCCACCACACCCAGCACCTGGATGGCATGGATGACCCAGCGCTCCTTCAGCCACCCAGGGGCCAGCTTGTGAGCCAGGGTGACAGCAAGGGGGCCCACGTTCCCCAGGGCGATGAGGACTGAGAGGTATGCAGGGAGATTCCAGCCTGGAGGGGGAGAGATGTAGCACTAGGGACACCCTGCCGACCCGAGCCCTTCGCCCTGCTGCCGTGCAGGGCAGCCGGCTCCTCGGTGCGCCGGGCACCCCAGGGCCCAGTCCAGAGTGATGCCGCCTGTAATTCTTCCCCCTTCTATTGCAGGCCAGCAGAGCCGCCTCGCTCCCTGGAGACCAGCACGTGCCGACCCACGGCCCACCTTCGTCCCTGGCCAGGTGAGAGGAAGGGTTGGAAGCAGAGGAACCCAAAGGGGGCTGCAGAACAGACGGGTTCAGGGCACCACCCCCGAAGGACCCAGCGAGGGGTCCTAGCGCCTGTTCCTGTCGCTTAAACCTTCTTACTGGCTGGCTGAGAGTCGCGTCTGACTCCCGGCTCTGGTTGTGTGAGAGCGAGGTCAGCCCAGAAGGGGCCGGGGCGGGAAGACAGGTGCTCACAAAAACATGGGGGCGTAGGATCGCCGGGACACCCCCCCCCAAAAAAAAAAAAAAAAAAACAAGGTGTTGTGGGGGAGGGAGAAAAAAGAAAACCTCCCGTGGGATTAGCACGGTGCAGCCCTACCTACGGGGGAAAGGAGCCCATGGGCTGATCTGCCCGCAGATAGCGGCGAGGGGGGCGGGGGGAAGCTGCACAGGGGGCCACGGCAGACGCTGGCCCTTCTGCAGCTAACGAAACGTTGCTAGCAAAGCAACTGGCACAGCTTGTTCTGCTGCTGCCTCCCACTCCCCCTCCCCCCCAAGAGTGCTGGGCCTCTGCATGGAGACGCTTCACTGTGCAACGGTTCTGGGGACCAGTGGGGATGGGCCGAGAACACAGCTGTTCACAGGGGAGCCCCAGGCAGCCAGCTGCTAGCAGCAGGGGGCCAGGCCAGGGCCTGCATGTGAATTCCATGGAGGGAATCCAGCCGTTCGTTCGGGGAGGTTACGCTGCCAGGAACATGACCCACTCTCCGCTGGCACGGCTGGTAGCAACTCCAGCCCCAGGCAGGGCTTAGCTGGGAACACCATGTGCCTGCAGCAGGTGCAGAGGCTGCCTTCAGGTGGGCGGCCCTGGCGAGACAGAGACCAGGCCTCCGGCACCTTCAATAACCCCACAGGGGAAGCATGCCAGCCTGCCTCCCGCCCCCAGGATGCTGCCTGTGCAGACCGTGGGGCTGGCCTGACAGTCTCCTGCAGCTAGGGCCTCTCCAGCCCCAGGGCTCCCTTGCCGTGGCCCATGGAGTACTTGTGGGGGGCGTGCAGAGGGCTGGCTGCTCACCAGGGGCTGGCTCCAAGCAATGCAGGCTCTGCGGGACAGAGGCGGGCCTGGAGGGAGGCATGCTGGAGCTGCGGCTCCACAGAGGAGGGGGAGAAACAGCTGCCCCCAGGGGGTGCAGGCACCACATCAGAAGGGAGCAGGGGAAGGGGAGAAGAGGGCCCCCGAGAGGCTGGGTAGTGTATGTGTGGGGGGCAGGTGGCTGGCGTGTGTGTGCAGGGTGGCAGAGAAGGGGAGTTAAATGAGGAACAAAAGGAGCCTGCAAGTAACTCCCTAGGCACTGGGCACATCAGCCAGGAAATCCCCCAGCTCCTCCTCCACCATCTCTGCCACATGCGAGTGCTGGGGGGGAGGGGGGGAGTGGGTTGCCAGACTCGCCAAGGTGTGGCCCACCCCATGGGAGAGTTTGGAACCCCCAGGCCAGATGATCGTCATGGCCGGCTCCTCCTAGCCAATCCGGCTACGGAAGAGGCGAGCAGGCCCCTCTCTGCCTGGGGGATCGGATCCTGCTGTCGGGGCAGCGAGTTCCCTCTCGGACCAGGCAACGGGCAAAGAGCTGCCTCCCTGCGCTCATGGTGTCGCTGTCGCAGGGCCGTCCGTGGGGCCGGTGCAGATCCCAGCAGAATCCCTTATCAGCATGAACAGAGCGTCACTCGTTTGGGGGACGGGAGGGGGTGGAACTGGAACAGCCCTAATACTAACTTACTGGGTCGGAGCCCCCCGGCCCTTGGACCAGGAGAAGAGTATTGGAAATAGCTGCCTACCGCTCTCTATCCCGCTAACGAGCCAGCCCCAGCACGCCGGAAACACCCAGTCAGTCTGCCCCGATGGCCTTCCCCAGCGCAGCACGCACTAGCCTCCACCCCCGAGCGACAGGCTAAGGGCTGTTCTCCTCCAGGAAGTGCGGGTGGAGGGCAGAAGGCCAAGGCCAGGCAGCAAGCCTGGGCCAGAGCTGGGCAGCACCTGCTGGCTCCCAGCACCAGATCCACACTCCCAGAGACCGGGATAACCCAACCACCCCCCAGGCAGGGCTCCCCTCGGGGAGAAGTTCTGCTGGACACCAGGGACTCCACAGTTCTTCTTCACTAGGCCGGCTGAGCCCCGCCATCTCGTCCCCACAGCAGTCCGGGGCAGCAGCTGGGGAGCAGGACAAAGCTCCCTTGGGGCCTGTGTTCCCAGTCCAACGGCAACACTCTGCACTCAGGGTCCAGCTAGGAATCCAGAGCCCAGAGGGCAGCTGCTCGTGTTCACACCAGCGGTGTCCTTGCTACCTCCCTCTCCACCAAGGACCCTCCAATGACTCTTCGCCCTGGGCCGGGAAACTCTCTGGAAGCCGGAGGAGTTTGTCCCTTCCTGCCTTTGTTCTCCGCCCGGTCGGCTGGCACCTCGTGTTTGTTGCCTGGAGCTCTGAGCTGGCGCTAGCTAAAACAACACGTGCAGCATGCTTCCAGGGCAGAACACCTCTGCGCAACCAGCACCGGATGCTGGCCCCTCTGAGTCCAGGAAACGGCCGGCGGCAGGTTTCCAGCTGCTCTCCCGGTGCCTGGCTCGGGCGGAGTGGCAGACTGAACCCCAGGCCAGCAGCTGGGTTATTCAGGGTCTGCAGGATCCCCCGTGCTTGGGCAGTCGCAGCCATGCAGGCTAACGCAGCATTCGGAGGGCTCATGCTGCTGGGGAGGGGCTAAGTGAGAACTCCCCAGCCCCCAGAACACCGACTTTTCCCTTAGTCGCCGAGCCCCGGACTAGCAGGTTCTCAGCTGTTTCCCTAGAACGGGGATTGTCTAAGCCCCTCCAGCCCCATTCACGATCCCAGGGATGTTACTGTGTAACAACAGCAATTCCCCATTAAACACTTTCCTCCTCTCCGCTGGCTTCGGGGCGTTGTGGCAGCTAGAAAGGAGAGATGAATGGCACAGCAGAAGGCAAGACACCTGACCACCCACTGCAGCTGCTCCTACGTGCCAGGTGAAGCCTGGGGCATCACCCATGCCGGGCCCGCAGGCGCTGCTTTATCACCACCCATCAGCTCCTAGCACACCATTGCTCCTCACCTTCTGGAAGCCACTTCACCACCACGGGGAGCTCCACCCACAAGGAGTTCACGGCGACCCAGGAGCCCATTCCGAAAAGGGCCACCAGCACGTGGGTGATCATGGCCTGGCCCATCACAGACGCAGCCATTCTCTCAGCCCTGGCAACAGAGAAGAGAACAAGGTCAGGTCCAGCTCATCCACTGGTGAATAGCACCAGCTCTGCAAAGGGTTACCTCATAGACTGGTGGATCCAAAACCGAATCCAACAGCCTGAGCTATGCCAGGCAAAGGGCAACGAGGAGTCCAGAGCTGCTGGAGCAGGGATCCCCACAGCCAGCCATTGCTGAAAGAGACAACATCCTTTACCAGAGAGCCGACATTTTGGTGTGCTGGGGCTGGAACTGTCCTACCAGGGCCCAGCATGCTGAACTCCAGCAGCCAGGGCTTGAGCAGGGGCGGTGCAGTGGGACAATGTACTGAGCGTGCACGTCCGAACGCTTTCATCTTTATCTCTCTTGTAAGCATTTCCGACTTTAATGCCTTATGCTTGTACTCACTCAAAATCTCCCTCCTTGTAAATAAACAAATTTGTTTCATTCTTTAATTAAAACGAATCCAGCGTTGTGAATTGGTTGGGTAACTTCATTTACAGGAGCAGATGGTTGTTGAGGAGGAGAGGGCTGAACAGTGCAGAACCACCTTTGTGTAGAGGGAGAAAGTGGGGGGAATGCAGGACTGGGAGTGTGCTGGGATCACCCTGAAGATTGTAACCCAAGGCTCCTGGAAGCCAGAGTGTGGCTGGTGTGTTGCTGACAGGCTGCTGGGGTCAGAGCTGCTGGCCTAGGGCTGTGGCTACACACACACACTCAGGGTGTGACCTGCATGCTGTTTGGCTGTTTGAGGAGCCCAGGTTGGGACCTACAGTAGCAAAGCATTGGGAGGCACCCCAGGCTGCAGGGCAAGTGGTGACAGCCCCTCACTGCTCCAGATACAACCCAGAATGTCCTACCGGCTCCTCATCCTCCCAGCCAGCCTGATGCTGCTTCCTCTAGCCCCTTCAGGGGGTTAATCTCAGGGGACCATGGGACAAGGTAAGTGACTGAAGTGTTACTGGAGCAAGAGTCCCGTACTGCACCCTTGGGAGGACCTCCTGGCAGTCACCCTGTGGCAGCTGGCACAGAGCAGGCATGTCACAAGTCAGGATGGCGGATCCCTTTGGAATCCTGTGATTAAAAACAGCCCCCTGCTCAACTGCACTGATACAGAAGTGGGGGAGAGGGAACAACTGGCTGTTCCTATTACAAGGAAGGAGTGCGTAAGTCGAAAATGCAGAGCTGCCCCGGAAATCACACAGCCCAGCACGTCTCAGGAATTCAGGTTCTGCAAACGTCCCTGCTCTTTGCCTCGTCTTGTACCCAGTCAAAAGCTCTTCAGGGCACGGAACGTGCTGAGCGCTAGAGCGGAGCGCCAGGTGCTCCCCTGATGCTGGAATGAGCATCTAGCACCGGGACAAACCCCGCTGCTCCAGAGACGTGCACTGCTCCCTCCCCCCAGGCAGCGTGCACAGTGCCCGCTGTGCAACGGGGCCTGGGGGAAGTTGTGCAATGGGCGTTTCTGAGCAGGCAGAGAGAAGATTCCAAAAACCACAAGATCCAGCCGCTGCCAGTTTAACCCGACAGTTACCAGCATCAGCCCCGGCTGCAAAGCTATCAGCAGCTTTCAGATCCAGCCCAGCACTGATCTCCCTGCCCTCCTGCGCAGGAAGCCATACGAGTCTGCTCCACAAACCAGGACCTGCTTTAACCTGAGCTAAATGGACCTGCCACTAGTGTCCCTGCATAACTCCAGGGGCGCAGATTATGGGAGGAAGAAGAAAGCTGGATGGACCAGTTCTCATTCATCCCAGGGCTAAGTTACCCCATCATACCTCTGGCCAGCCTCAGTGCCCTTCTCTGCAGCCTCAGCAGATTCTTCCTTATGGTTGGGAGGCAGCCAGACAGCCTGCGAGTTGAGACTCCAGCACCACTTGATGTCCCAACACCTCCTGAGTTCCCTCCTGGCAAGTCCTGGAAATGCAGAGCCCATCAGCATGAGACATCATCTCCGCCGGCGCACGTTGCCTTACCCATGGCCACGCTCAATCCCACCTGCCCAGTCCTTTACTGTGCTCATCCCCACCTGGAGCTGTGCCTCTCACACACCTTGTAGAACTGACAAATGAAATTGGTTTTAATTGTTCACTTTATTAATATAACTTCATAAGCAAAGTTTCATGAATGAAACAACATTCATTCATAAAACCGGTTACCCCAATAACTGGCTAATTGAGTTTCACTTTCAATCCAATTGCTGCTAAAACTACTGAAACTTGCACTGCTTCAACATTGTAACTTCTGCTCCCTGTTTGCCATTCCTTACATGTGTCCATGTTGTAACCCATTTTAAAATGCTCACTTCATTTTTGCTAAACCCTGCTGTAATCTGATTAGTGTAGTTTAGATGTGGGAATGAGGTATGGATGGATGATGGAATCAACCTCCAGCCCCAGCCTGTCCTGATGAAATAATGTGTAAACACCAAGGGCTGAAGATGCAGACAACAGCCCTGACAAAGAAAGAAGAGTCCACCCTAAAAAGAAAAAACAAAAGTACAATTGAAGAAACATCAAAGCCAGCTCCTAGGCTGAAAGTCACGTCTGCAATTGACGGGTGATCAGTCACACTGAACCCAGAGGAAGCATGACACAGCAAGAACTATAGACTCTGGATTCAAACTAAAGCCTACAAACAGGATGGATGAGATGGAAGACTTTGGAGGGTAACATTCTGCTGCCAACATGGAAGGGCATCAGTGCATGCCCAACAGAGACCCAGCTCTTCCTTGTGCCCGGCTTTCCTGGCCAGTTAGCCGCCACAAGCTACATTCAGGACTGGTAACTATACCGCAGCTGCAGAACATTTGGGGGGTGTGTGTGTGTATACATAGGTATTAGATATTCGTTATTGGTCTTAAATCAAATTGTGTTATAATAAACGTGACATCTTGCCTTGTCCCCTGAAACTATCCTGTGTAGTTTTGTTGGCATAACAACATTAGGGGCATTGGTGAATTTCATCAACCCCCGGTCACTCCCTCCTCTAAATCATGCACATGGGCATGGAGCAGCCAAACAAGTCACTCACTATCAACCTCTATCCAAACAGGCCAGCTGCTGCTCACCACAGCTCCCTGCTTCGTCCCACCCAGCCAGCAGCCAACACACCACAAGGCTTCCCCTCCTACCAGGGGTTATTCATTTCCCCAACAGCTTTTTGTGGAGAAGCCTTATCAAAAGTGTTGTGAAATCCCCACCAAGCACCCAATGGGCCCCTCTTATCTGCTAGTTTATTGGCTTCTTCTGAGAACCCCACAGCCAGCCGGTCAGAGTTGCTTGATTGAGACTGAGCTGGCTGGATCCCAAGTGACCCCCCACCCAGACCCACCCCTGACTGCACTCCTTACGGCCTGTGTTATTTAGGAGTTATATATGCTAGTGGCTCTCAACCGGGATATGTGTACCGCAGGGGTCCTGAGAGATCTAGCGGGGGTGGGGGGGTGGTACATCAACTCATCTTGAGATTTGCCTAGTTTTACAACAGGCTACAGAAGTCAGGACAAACTCCAATGTCACACCCTGACTTGTTTACACGGCTCTCTGCACTGTACCCTGAGATGCAGGTGGGATAGTTACACTCCAGGTGACGGATTTGATGCCGATAGGGAGAAGGGAGGCCATGCTCAGTCCTGGCCTGGCTGACACTGCTGGGTGTGTGTCTGATTTTTGAAGCGAGCAGTTTTGAAGTGAGGTGAAACTGGGGGGGTGGGGGGACAAATCCGAGTCCTGCAAGGGGGGGCCGGGCCTGGCCCAGAAAGGGCCAGAGCTGCTGGTCTGTACAATGGCTTAAAAGCCCCTCACAGCAGCTGCTCTGGGGTCTGCTAGCCCCATGCTGCCCCTAGCCCACGCCTGCCTGGGCTCTGGCTACGCTGGACTGGGGGCCCTGGGGGCTTTCCCAGTTCCCCCCCGGGCAGGAATCTCCCCAGGCCAGGCCCCTGGCTCTGCTCCTGCCAGGGGGCTCACCAGCCCCCCCAGAGCCCAGCCCCCCGGGCCAAGCCCTGGGCACAGCTATGGGCTGTGACCGCCGCGGGGCTCCGGGCACGTCCCCCTGGACCCCCGCATCCCGTCCCACTTCCCCCCTGTCCTGTCCCCCCAGAGCCCACTTCCCCCCTGCCCACACTTTCCCCACCCCCCTCCTCACCGCCCCCACTCCTCACCACCCCCCCAGCTCCCACTTCCCCCCACTCCTCACCACCCCCCAGAGCCCACTTCCCCCCTGCCCACACTTTCCCCACCTCCCTCCTCACCGCCCCCACAGCCCCCCTCCTCACCGCCCCCCACTTCCCCCCACTCCTCACCACCCCCCAGCTCCCACTTCCCCCGTCCTGTCCCCCCAGAGCCCACTTCCCCCCTGCCCACACTTTCCCCACCCCCCTCCTCACCGCCCCCACTCCTCACCCCACCCCCCAGCTCCCACTTCCCCCCCTCCTCACCACCCCCCAGAGCCCACTTCCCCCCTGCCCACACTTTCCCCACCTCCCTCCTCACCGCCCCACCCCCACAGCCTCCCCCCCCCCCCTCCTCACCGCCCCCCACTTCCCCCCACTCCTCACCACCCCCCAGCTCCCACTTCCCCCGTCCTGTCCCCCCCAGAGCCCACTTCCCCCCCTGCCCACACTTTCCCCACCCCCCTCCTCACCGCCCCCCAGCCCCCACTTCCCCCCCTGCCCCCTCCTCACCGCCCCCCTGCCCCCCGCTCTCTCTCTCTCTCTCTCACTCACTCACACACGCGGCTCCAGCCTCCTTCCCGGTTCCCCGAGGCGGCCCCGCCCCGGAAGTGACGGACCCGGAAGGCGCCGCAACCTCCGGCCTGGCGGGCCCCTGGCTGAGGAGCCGGCAGCGCGCGGGGATCCCGGTCAGCAGCGCGCGGCTCCCCTGCCCCTTCCCACAATCCTCAGCGCGGGACCCCCGGGAGGAGGTCCCGTCACCCTGGGGCCTCCCTGCCCACCGGCCCCCCTCCCCCACCCCGAGTCCCGCCCCCTCCCCCTTCTCACCCCTCCCCCACCCCGAGTCCCGCCCCTCCTCACCCGCACCACCCCCTCCCCCTTCTCACCCCTCCCCCACCCCGAGTCCCGTCCCCCTCCCCCTTCTCACCCCTCCCCCACCCCGAGTCCCGTCCCCCTCCCCCTTCTCACCCCTCCCCCACCCCGAGTCCCGTCCCTCCTCACCCGCACCACCCCCTCCCCCTTCTCACCCCCTCCCCCACCCCGAGTCCCGCCCCCTCCCCCTTCTCACCCCTCCCCCACCCCGAGTCCCGCCCCCCTCCCCCTTCTCACCCCTCCCCCACCCCGAGTCCCGTCCCCCCTCCCCCTTCTCACCCCTCCCCCACCGCTCCTCCCCCACCCCGAGTCCCGTCCCCCTCCCCCTTCTCACCCCTCCCCCACCCCGAGTCCCGTCCCCCCTCCCCTTCTCACCCCTCCCCCACCCCCGAGTCCCGCCCCCTCCCCCTTCTCACCCCTCCCCCACCCCGAGTCCCATCCCCCCTCCCCCTTCTCACCCCTCCCCCCACCCCGAGTCCCATCCCCCCTCCCCCTTCTCACCCCTCCCCCACCCCGAGTCCCATCCCCCCTCCCCTTCTCACCCCCTCCCCCACCCCGAGTCCCGTCCCTCCCTCACCCTTCTCACCCCTCCCCCCACCCCGAGTCCCGCCCCCTCCCCTTCTCACCCCTCCCCCCACCCCGAGTCCTGTCCCCCTCCCCCTTCTCACCCCTCCCCCACCCCGAGTCCCGTCCCTCCTCACCCGCACCACCCCCTCCCACTTCTCACCCCTCCCCCACCCCCGAGTCCCGTCCCCCTCCCCCTTCTCACCCCTCCCCCACCCCGAGTCCCGTCCCCCCTCACCGTTCTCACCCCTCCCCCACCCCGAGTCCCGTCCCCCCTCCCCCTTCTCACCCCTCCCCCACCCCGAGTCCCGTCCCCCCTCCCCCTTCTCACCCCTCCCCCACCCCGAGTCCCGCCCCCTCCCACTTCTCACCCCTCCCCCCACCCTGAGACCCGTCGCCCCTCCCCCCACCGCTCCTCCCCCACCCTGAGTCCCGCCCCTCTTCCCTCACCTGCACCACCCCCTCCCCTTCTAACCTCTCCCCCACCCCGAGTCCCGTCCCCCTCCCCTTCTCACCCCCTCCCCCACCGCTCCTCCCCCACCCCAAGTCCTGTCCCTCCTCCCCCACCCGCACCGTCCCCTCCCCTTCTCACCCCACCCTGAGTCCCGCCCCCTCCCCTTTCTCACCCCTCCCCCACCCTGAGTCCCGTCCCCCCTCCCCCCACCGCCCCCTCTTCCTTCTCACCCTTTCTCACCCCTCCCACCTCTCACCCCTCCCCCACCCCGAGTCCCATCCCTCCTCCCCCACCGCCCCTCCCCCGAGTCCCGTCCCTCCTCCCCCACCGCCCCTTCTGAGCATTGCAGATTCAGGCCTTGTGTCTTCACCTCCCCTTCTGCCCTTCCCGCTGGGCCGGACCCAGCAGCGTGGGGCTCCCAGCAGGGCTCTGTGCAGGAGGATCCCAGCCCCCCCAGTGCTGGCCTGAAGCAGTGCCATTCTCTGGCTAGACAGGGCAAGGATAGCCCCCCACTGTCTCCAGCTGGCAAGCCACCCCCATCCGCCACCAGTAAATTCACCCACCACATTGACATAAATGCAGATTTGCCCCCAGTGCTATGCCGGTTACTGGAGTGTCACCCAGCTCCTGCAGCGTGCCCAGCCACAAGTACCAGCAAGTCACTCCCATGGCAGATCAGAAACGGGGCGCAGGGCTAGGGGTGA